TCAAGCAATGAAACCACCTCTGGAACAGCAGCTGCAATTGGACTCACCAGCTAGCTAAATTTTCAATAATCCACTGCCATTCTCCAAAATCCATCTGTTTTTTGCACAGGCCAAATAGGCAAGTTGAATGGGGATGTGGTGGGAATCACCACCCCTGCATCCTTCAAGTCTTTGATGGTGGCATTAATCTCTGCAATGCCTCCAAGAATATGGTATTGCTTTTGGTTTATTATTTTCTGAGGTAAGGGGCAGTTCTAATTGCTTCCACTTGGCTTTTCCTACCATAATAGCTCTTCCTCCACTTGTCAGGGATCCAACGTGGGGGTCCTGCCAGTTGCTGAGTGTATCTGTTCTAATTATGCATTCTGGAACTGGGGAAATCACTACAGAATGAGTTCAGGGACCCACTGGACCTACTGTGAGATGGACATGAGCTAAGACTCCATTAATAACCCGACCTCCATATGCCCACACTCTGACTGGTGGGCCACAGTGATGTTTTGGGTCTCCTGGAATTAGTGTCAGTTCAGAGTCAGTATCTAATAATTCCTGAAAAGTCTGATTATTCCCTTTTCCCCAATGAACAGTCACTCTAGTAAAAGGCCATAGATCCCTTTGGGGAAAGCTGGGAGAAAGACTAACCCTATAAGTTTTTGGCTGTGTACTGAGGTCTTTCCTCAAGGGGAGCCGGCCTCCCCTTCCTTCAAGGGGCTGTGGGTCTGTAAACTCACTCAAGTCTGGGAATTGATTGAGGGGCAGTGACTCACTTTTCTGGCGATTTGAGTTAGACTGTTGTTCACTTGACCTAGAATTCTTCCACTTGAACAGATCAAGTAAATATTTAGTAGATTTCCTATCTATTTCACTCCAAGGGACACCATGACTAAATAGCCAGTGCCATAAATCCATATGAGTCAGACTATTCTGATTACTGCTTTGATTCCGCTCTCCATTACAGTAACCACTCTCATCTTCTCTTTGTCGATTGAGTGCTGCCACTTGGCCCCTACTACCGCAGGGTCCAATCAGACCCATTGTAGTTAGGTGTCTTAATTCAGTTGGGGCAGTTCCCACAGTCAAATCTGACTTACATAAAATAGCAATCACAGCAGTCTTCAAGGATGCTGGGGCTCCCTTCACAAATTTGTTCCTCACTGTTGTGGTAAAAGGTGTGTCCTCTGAGCACTCCACGTGTGGGCCTGTGGGACTAACCTAATAAATCTACTCTAACAATTTCCCTAAGTTTTTGGATACCTTCTTCTACAGTATACCAAGGCAAGTCTGGTACTTCAACTTGATTTAGTGTAGGCCACCACGTAATCCATACTTCAGCAGCCCAACCAAATAAACTATTAGATCCTTTCCTAAACTCTCGAGCTGAAACACTGAATGAAGAATCTGTGCTTAGTGGGCCCATATCAATAAACTCAGATTGATCCATCTTTATGTTCCTTGCACCATTATCCCACACCCTTAATAGCCATTCCCACACATATTCCCCAGGTTTCTGTTTGTACATATTAGAAAAGTCAAGCAGTTCCTCTGGAGTGTAGCATACCTCCTCCTGGGTCATACTTTGTACTTCACTTTTTGGGGCTCGCTGGACTGAAGTCTAATTATAGGTCTAAAAGCCAAAATCGGTGGTGGGTATGTGTTTTGAGAACATGCAGCATTATCTTGCAAGCCATCTGCCTCTGGCAGTGCCCCAGGCAATGACTCAGACAAAGGCTCTTTAAATACAGCTGGGTTAATCTCATTAGTTGGAGGTGGAGGGGCTAATGGTTTTACTGGGGAGAGTGGCTTAGCAAACAAACATAGAATAATCTCTTCAGATGGGAGTGAGAGGGCGGTTCTGTTGGTAGGAGTGATTCAGGGGAATTTAAGGATTCAGTGTCCCCAGCTTCCTGGTTATCTGCCCATATGTCCCCATCCCAAATTTCAGGATCCTGTTTCTTCCCAATCGATGCCTTCACTTTAGCTTCAGACACCACTCAACTTTGGGAATTGAGTTGGTGTTGTAATTCAGCCACTCTTACAATAAGACTCTGGGTTTGGTTTTCAGCAATGTCAGCTCCGTTACTACAAGAAATAAGGCTTTCTTTCAAGGTACAAGTAGAAACTTTTAGGTCTTTTATGCGGCACTTGAGCTTTGACTCTGAAGCGCTGAGCGCATCTCTTTCTTTCACCAGTTTGTCTAGCAAAAGTAGGACCAACCAACCAGCTTCCTTATACTTCTCATTATGACAAAATTATAGAATGATATTGTACATGCCATCACCCAGGGCCTCACCTTTCACCAATACCTGATCTATTGGTGGTGATATTTTGTATATTTCTATTGCCACCTCACAACATGGGTTAGCAGTGCCCTCTTTACTACTGGAAGCAGAGTCATCAACATCTGTAAGACTAACTAGACTTGAGAACCAATTTAGAAAACGCATCCTTACAATTTTGTTTCTCTAGAATTACTCTTGGTACCAAATGTCTTAGGCTGGGTTCTGTGGAGAAGCAAAACGAGTAAAGCTTATAAATATCTCTATAGAGAGATTTATATCAAGGAAATGGCTCATGCGGTTGTAGAGGCTGGAACATCCCAAGTCAGTGGGTCAGATTGGAGGCTTCTTCTGATTCACATAGCCACCAAGGCTGGCAAACCCAAGATTGGCACACAAGACAGCAGGTAGGCTGCCAGCTCAAGTCCCAAGAACCAGAAATCAGACAAACAGAAGCCAGCTGCAGGATCCAGAGAAAGCAAAAGCCAGCAAGCCTTGCTAAAGTCCACCTATACTGGATGCAGGCCACACACCCAAGGAAACTCCCTTTCAACTCTTTGGCTACTCGCAACAGATCCCATCATGGAGGTGATCACATTAAATTAAATCTCATCATGCACATGATCTCATCATCATAGGACTGTCAAACTACTGAGAATCATGGCCAAGCCAAACTGACACACAACCTTAACAATCATACACAGGTTCTCGCTTTTGCAGGTTTTACCATACATATTTATTGAAACCTACTGTATAGCAAGTAAAATGACTTGCTACTTGCTCATTTCATTTTATTTGGATCCACTATCAACACCCGTGGAAGAAGCAGTCAGGAAATCAAAAGACGCATTGCATTGGGCAAATCTACTGCAAAAGACCTCTTTAAAGTGTTGAAAAGCAAAGATGCCACCTTGAGGATTAAGGTGCGCCTTACCCAAGCTATGGTATTTTCAACTGCATCATATGCATGCGAAGAAGAATTGACACCTTTGAATTGTGGTGTTGGCAAAGAATATTGAATATACCGTGGACTGCCAAAAGGACGAACAAATCTGTCTTGGAAGAAGTACAACCAGAATGCTCCTTAGAAGGAAGGATGGCGAGACTATGTCTTCCATACTTTGGACATGTTGTCAGGAGGGATCAGTCCCTGGAGAAGGACATCATGCTTGGTAAAGTACAGGGTCAGCGAAAGAGAGGAAGACCCTCAACAAGATGGATTGACACAATGGCTGAAACAATGGGTTCAAGCATAACAACAATTGTGAGCATGGCACAGAACCAGGCTGTTTTGTTCTGTTGTACATAGAGTTGCTATGAGTTGGAAGGGACTCGACAGCACCCATCAAGAACAATAACAGTAAATAAAAGTTAGCTAATATTCCTTCTCCAGGGCCTGGTCCCTTCTGATAACATGTCCAAAGTACATGGGACAAAATCTTGCAATCCTCACTTCCAAGGAACTCTCTGGCTGGACTTCTTCCAAGACAATTTGTTTGTGCTTCTGGCAGTCCATGGTATATTCAATATTCTTTGCCAACACCATAATTCAAAGAACATTTATATTTAGTACTTGTTATATATGCACCTAGGATCCCTGGTGATGCAGTGGTTAAAGCAATAGAGACACTAACAGTGGCTCCGCGGGAGAAAGATGTGGCAGCCAGCTTCCATAGAGATTTACAGCCTTGGAAACTCTATGGGTCACTAGGAGTCGGAATCAACTCAGCGGTACTGGGTTTTTTTTTTTGTTTTTTTTTGGTTTTATATATGCATCTAAGGAGCACTGGTGCTGCAATGGTTAAGCACTGGGCTTCTAACGGAAAGGTCAGCGGTTCGAACCCACCAGCTGCTCCTCTCCTCAGGAGAAAGACCTGGGGATCTCGTCCCGTGAAGATTACAGCCTAGGAAACCCTATAGGGTAGTTCTACTCTATCATATGGCATCACTAGTAGTCGGAATCAATGGTATATAACATATATGCACCTGGCCCTTTTCTAAATTGTGTACACATTGGGTACCTATCTAATCCTGAAAACCATCCTCCTTTTTTACAGAAGAGGAAACAGAGGCACAGAGAAGCTGAGAACTCAAGTAGTCTGGCTTCAGGTATCATGATGCTAACCTTTATACATAGCCTCTAAGTGAACGAATTAATTTATTGATGATTCCATCAGTCAGGTTCAAATTCCAGTTCTGCCACTTGTTGACTGTGTGACCTAGGGCCAATCCATTTATCTTTCTGGACCTCCTGGTTTGTGGAGAAGATGAAAGATGCTGGAGGGAATGCGTTCAAAGACCCCCTCCCTCTCCCACCTCCGTACACACGCACGCACAATTTCAATGAGAGGAAGTCAGGAATCAGCTGGAAACAGTGGCGCAGGGTCAAAGCCAGGTACAGGGTGGGGCCGCTAGAGGCAGCCAAAGTCTCTGACTTCCAGATTTCTCCTATCTGCCCACGCCCGACCTGTCTCCGTCCCAGAACCCCGCGCAAACGTGGGAGACACCCCCATTAGACTGGGTTTCGCCGACCCCAGGCAGCGGCAGTGGACTGGGAGAAATCGGGCAGCAGGATACGCATCCTGCCTCCGGCCAAGAGAGGGGCTAGCTGCCCCTCGCCTCTCCGCCTGATTTCGTTGGGGAGGAGGCGCCCGGCTCCCCGCCCCTAACTGGCCCTACAGCGTGTAGCGTCTGAGAGCAAAGAGACGGAGGTGACCTGCCGAGATGGAGGCATCCGGCACCTGGGCGCTGCTGCTGCTTTTGTTGCTGGTGGCGGTGCTGACGCTGGCGCTGCCCAGGACCCGGGGCCGAGGCCACCTGCCCCCTGGGCCCACGCCGCTGCCGCTGCTGGGGAACCTCCTTCAGCTCCGGCCTGGGGCCCTGTACTCCGGATTCCTGCAGGTGAGGAACCGCAGGGTCGTCCTCAGGGCGGGGCAGGGGTCCAGGGCCAAGAGAGGGAGGGTTCCCTGGGGAGAGAAACCGGAATCCCAGGCAAAGGGCTTCTCGGGTATCCCAGATAAGAAGCAGGGGTTCAGGGCAGAGGGGCTACTACTGTCCTGGGGTGGGGGTGGGAGCAGCGGTGCAGAGCCGAGCTGGGGAAGGATCTCTGGAGGACAGAGGATCCTGGGGTGGGGGTGGGGGACCAGGGCCAAGAAGGGCAGGGGCCTGGGCCCGCAGAATGCTAGAAAGGGGGTGGAAGGAGGGGGACCAGAAACCCGAAGGACAGGGTCCCAGGGAAGAGGGACCTACAGAATCCTGGGAAGGCAGTGGGGGCAGGAACCAAAGTGGAGAGAGTAAAGTCCTTGAACTCAAGAGGAGCTGAGGGTGGTGGGCTTGTCGGGGGAGAGGTAGCCGGGGCGGGGGACAGGGAGTGCTTACAAATGTGAAGTACCCTGAGGAGGGAGAGCAAATATACCTGAGGACTGAGAAGAAAGGAGGGCGGGGTTCGGGCGGGGAGACCACCAAGGGAGGGGTGTCTGGGGCATGTGGAGGCAGAGGAGAAGTTGGAGGGTCCCAGAAACAGAGAGGGACTGGGGGAGGGGGTCCCCCAAGGTCCAGGGCTGAAGGAATCTGTTGGTAGAGATCCGTGGGGAGGAGGGCTGGGCTGTGAGGGAGCTTAGTTTCTGGGACAGAGAAGGGAAGGACAGCCAGAAAGAAGACTGGGACAGTCCCCATGTTTGGGGGAGGGAGGTGGTGGGAAAGAGTTCCCCATTCAAAAAAAGTCCGGGGCGGGTTTCCAGGACCTGAAAGGGAGTGGGAGCCTTGGGAATAGACAGCGGTGCTCAGCAGTATCTGCTCCAGAATTTGGGCTTAGCAGAGGTTGAAAGGGGAGTGGCTAGATGTTTGAGGAAATTTGGGGGCCAAAGCTGTCGCTGCCTCTTTTTGCTGCCATTTGTCAGGGTGAGGGGTTCTGGGTTGTCCTACGATCAGGGTTTAGGGTTCTACAGGAGGTAAGGGAGGAGGGATTGGAGGGTGTGTTGAGGGAGGGAGTTTGGGGGATCTTTCTGGGGAGAGGGCCTGGGAGCTTGCGGCAAAACGGGAACCAAGCCTCTCAAGGGGGCTATTTCTGCATCTGGGGGAGGGGTGTCCTGGTAGAGGAAGCAGAAGCCATAATTAGGTGACCAGGCACCCACCCTGGGCTGGAAGAGGCTGAAGCCATCCCAACAGCCCAGCCCCTCCTCTCTCCCTGTCCCAGCTGAGTAAGAAGTACGGACCAGTGTTCACAGTGCACCTGGGACCCTGGAGGCGCGTGGTGGTCCTGGTTGGATACAAGGCCGTGCAGGAGGCTCTGGGAGACCACGCAGAGGAGTTCAATGGACGGGGGACGTTGGCGACGCTGGAGCGGACCTTTGATGGCCATGGTGAGTTGGGAAGGGGGTTGGGCAACAGCCCCTTCACTCATAGCCCACACTGCTTACTGGCATGTGACCTTCACGCATGGCTTAGCCTCTGTCACCTCAGCAGTAAAATGGGGTGTCTTGATTATCTAGTGTAACTATAACAGAAATACTACAAGTGGACGGCTTTAACAAACAGAAATTTATTTTCTCAGAGTTTAGGCGGCAGAAGCCCTAATTCTGGACACTGACTCTAGGGGAAGGCTTCCTCTGTCTGGCTGTAGGGGAAGGTCCTCGTCTCCTCAGCTTCTGCTTCCCGGTTCCTTGGAGATCTCCATGGTCTTGGTGTGTCTATCTTTCCCCTCTCTGCTTCTCGCTTGCTTGTTTAATCTCTTTTATGTCTCAGAGGAGGTTGATTTAAGACGTAACCCTACGCTAATCCTGTCTCATTAACATAACAAAGACAAACCAAACCCACTACCTATGAGTCTATTCTGACTCATAGGGACCCTACAGGACACTATAGAACTGCCCCACAGGGTTTCCAGGGTTAAACAAAAAAAACAGAGCCCTGGCAGTGCAGCAGTTAAGAGCTCAGCTGCTAACCAAAAGGTCAACAGTTCGAATCCACCAGCCTCTCTTTGGAAACACTATGGGGCAGTTCTCCTCTGTCCTACAGGGTCACTATGAGTCAGAATCAACTCGACGGCAACTGGTTTGGGGTTTTATTGTTTGTTTGTTTTAATCTTTACGGTTGCCGACTGCCCCATCTTTCTCCTGCAGAGCGGCTAGCTGGTTCAAACCGCCCATCTTTTGGTTAGCAACTGAGCACTTAACCACTGCACCACCAGAGGTCCTTCAACAAAGACAACCCATTCTCAAATGCGATAATAACCACAGGCATAGAGGTTAGAATTTACAGCACATATTTTGGGGGACATAATTCAATCCATAACATGGGGTGATCAGAGTACCTATGACATAAGGTTGTACTGAGGATTAAATGAGGACCATGCCTTGTACAAAGTAAGATCTCAATCATTACCAGGTTGCAGTGTTGATATCACCACTCCAGGTGAAGCTCCTGAGGGCCCAGGAGGAAGCGGGGGAGTTGCAATGCACAGGGAAGTGATGGGCAAACATTCAAAGTGTAGGAACTGTGTCGTGTGTAGGATTTTAGCTTAGAAATTTAATAGAGAGAAACTCAGGTTTGACATGCATAAACCCATTCAGTTTATTGCAAGGTGGTCATGGCACGGCACCCAAGTAAGGTCTCACAACATTCATTTAGAACTGGAGAATCAGAATTAACAATTACATGAGTTCAATGGTTAGAGTCCATATCTTTAGACTTCAGGCTTTTACCTTTAACGAGAGGTCTCAGGATGAAGGCTTCACCACGGCTTAAACTTGGCGGAGGTCCCTTGTAACTAGGGTCCAGGGTCAGCGGCGGCAGAGTCTCAGCAGGCTCTCAGTGTTTGCCTCTGCCTTCTCTCAGTAAGTGAGCAGAAATTTAGGGTTTATATGTGAATTTGTCACCTTGACTCCACACGACAAGGGCCAATGTGATGTCAAAGACTAGTATGTTGTGTCTTTTCTCCAGGGTTAGAGAGTAGCCAAATGACACATCTTTTCCTCAAATCAGAGATTAAGGAGGTTGCTTAGACTTATGTCTCAAGGCTAGTTTACAAAGATTAAACCCAGCCCACTGCTGTCGAGTTGATTCCGACTCATAGAGACCCCATACGGTTTCCAAGGCTGTCGATCTTTACGGAAGCAGACCGCCACATCTTTCTCCCACAAAGCTGCTAGTGGTTTCGAACTGCTGACCTTTTGGTTAGCAGTCCAGCACTTTAACCACTGTGCCACCAGGGCTCCTTTACAAAGATTAACTATGTTATATCTTCTCGTGTCACTGCATGTCAGGTCAAAATCAACTTTAAGGTTGTTTACTACGTTCTCCACATACTTCTATGGCCTTTGTCTAAATTCAGAAAATTTCTAAATAATTTGCCACAACTTAACAGGTTTCTAATGACTTATAGTTAATGTTAGAGAGCCTGACAAAGGTAGATATATTTCTAAGTTCCTATTATGAGTGCTTATACATATGTATTTTAAAGGCATAATAGTGTCTTATACCTGACAGGATTTGCGATCATTGTAGAAACATACAGAACAAACCGTATTCTCCATGCTAAGACCAAAAGCAAGACAGCCATGGTGGGGGCTTCTGAGAACACAGCAGTGACTAAGACAGCCTAGTCCTGCTCACCCAGCACAGGCAGAAGGGTTAGGGTGGGGACAGGGGAGGTGCTGGCAGAGGAGTCAGGGCTGGATTGGGGAGGGGGGGCACAGGGACTGTAGAAACCTGGAGGAGGCACCCGACCCACTCTAAGGGGTGGGAGATGTTCAGGAAGACTTCCTGGAGGAGGAGGTGTCTGAGTTGAGACTCAGAGGATAAGTGGGAAAAGGTGTTCCGGGCAGAAAAAACACGTGGAAAAGCATGGAAGTGAGAGAAAAAGGATCCCTCCATTCATTCATTCAGCTGACAAAATTTTCATTGTGCCTGGCCCTGTACTGGGAGCTGGGGACACAGAGGTGACTGTGACAGATGTAGTGTCCTCCTATTCTGTGGGAGAGGCAGACTCAGAATAAGACTGTGGAGGGAGGGCGTAGAAAAAACGAAAGGCACTGCCTTGAGAGGAGGGCACAGGGAACCTGTATGAGCCTGGGGGTGGGAGAGTGGGGGAATCAGAAGGCTTTTCCTAGAAGGTGAGCTGAGGCCTGGAGGAGGATGGGTGGAGTTGGATCCCTGAGGCTGGGGAGGTGACCAGAGGTCTGGGGGTAGGAAGGGGGCATGGCATCTTTGAGGAAGTGAGAGAAGGCCAGCAGGGTTATAGCAGGATGAGTGACAAGGCTGGAGAAGTCTGCAGCCTGTCCAGGCAGAGGGTTTGGGCTTTTTGTTTTCCTAGGAGCCATAGATTTTTAAGCTGGAAGGGCCATGGTCAGGTTCCAAAGATCCTCTGGCTGCTTTGTGGAGGGGAAGAACTGAAGGCAAGGAGCCCAGGGGAGGACAGGGCTGGGGCAGTGGGAGAGGAGGAGGGGATGGTTAGCGAGGGGCTGCTGCGAGTGTGGGAGAGGTGGCCAGGGGAAGGCCCAGGGCTCTGGCCAAGGAGACAGGAAAGTAGGCTGACACAGGGACAGGGAAGAGGAGCTGGCTTGGGAGACCCGCTGAGGTCAGTTTGGACCACAGGGGGGGAGGGGGCAGGGGACACCATGAGGAGGCTTTCAGGAGGCCACCACAGGCGGGCATTCCACGGATGGGAACACTGAGCTCACAGACAGGAGGGGTCTGTCCAGAACAGGTCTCTTGGATAAAGGAGGAAAACAATGCAGTTCCCCCTCCTTCCCGCCTGTTCAGACTCCACTGTAACTCTAGCAAACTCCATAAACGCTGGGACGGGCGGAGAGAGGGAGGAAGGAAGGATGGGAGGTTGGTTGCTGTTAGTTGCCATAGAGTCGATTCCGACTCACGGCAACCCCATGTCTGCAGAGTAGAACTGCTCCATAGGGTTTTCAAGGCTGTGACCTTTCGGAAGCAAATCACCAGGCCTGTCTTCCAGGGCGCCTCTGGGTAGGTTTGAACCACCAACTTCGTTTAGTAGTTGTCTTAGTCATCTAGTGCTGCTGTAACAGAAATACCTCAAGTGGATGGCTTTTAACAAAGAGAAATTTATTCTCTCACAGTCTAGTAGGCTACAAGTCCAAATGCAAGGCATCAGCTCCTGGGGAAGGCCTTCTCTCTCTGTCGGCTCTGGAGGAAGGTCCTTGTGATGCATCAGTCTTCCCTTGGTCTGGGAGCATCTCAGCGCAGGAACCTCAGGTCCAAAGGACACGCTCTGCTCCTGGCACTGCTTTCTCGGTGGTATGAGGTCCCCCTCTCTGCTCGTTTCCCTTTCCTTTTCATCTCTTGACAGATAAAATGTGGTGCAGCCCACACCCGAGGGAAACTCCATTTACGTTGGATCAGGGATGTGACTTGTGTAAGGGTGGTGTTAACATAACAACCACACCGTACTAGGAATCATGGTCTAACCAAGTTGACACCTTTTTGGGGGGCACAATTTAATCCATGACAGTAGTCCAGTGCTTAACCATTTGGGCCACCTGGGACTTGTGAGAGTATAGTTGTTTGAGTCGATTCCAACTCAGAGTAACCCTATAGGACAAGGTAGAACTGCCCCATAGGGTTTCCTAGATGAAATCTTTATGGGAACAGATCACCAGGTCTTTTCTCCCGTGGAGCAGCTGGTAGATTTGAACCACTGACCTTTCAGTTAGCAGCCAGGCACTTAACCATTGCACCACCAGGACTCCTTGGAAGGATGGTAAACCAAAAAACCAGACCCGTTGCCGTCGAGTCGATTCCGACTCATAGCAACCCTACAGGACAGAGTAGAATGGCCCCATAGAGTTTCTAAGAAGCACCTGGTGGATTCGAACTGCCCACCTTTTGCTTAGCAGCTGAGCTTTTCATCACTGTGCCACCAGGGTTTCCTGGAAGGATGGTAAAAAGGATAAAAAGATGGATGGAAGGAAGGAAGAAATCTCCCTTCACCCTGGTTAATCAAAGCAGAAGGAGCCTGGGTAATCCCCAATTACCAACTTTTCAAGAGAATGTCACTCTCTGACCCAAAGTCAGAGGACGGAGTAACCAGGTTGGGTTCTCTATTTATTGAGCACCTACTGAGTCCCTGTCTCTGTGCTGGGCTTGGTATGCATGCACCTTGAGGACCCGGCATGAAGAGTCCCCCACAGGCACTCCTCACTGGGAGGAGGAAGGGGAGTGTATGGGGGTAGGGGGAGAAGGGCCGGTCCCTCCATGAGTCTGCCTTCTTTCTGCACAGGGGTTTTCCTCTCCAACGGGGAGCGATGGAGGCAGCTGAGGAAACTAACCATGCTTGTTCTGCGCGATCTGGGCATGGGGAAGAGAGAAGGCGAGGAGCTAATCCAGGCTGAGGCCCAGCGTCTAGTGGAGGCATTCCAGGAGATGGAAGGTCAGCCCAGGAGTCCCCGCCCCTGCCTGAAGGGGGAGGGCTTGTCCCCAGCCCGCCCTGGGAATGAGCGGGAGGGGATGCCTTGGACTCTAGGGCTGGGCTGGGGGCTCCATTCACCTCCAACTCCTCCTCCACCCTCCATCTCTGTCCTGCTGTGTCTCTGAGGGTCTCCGTGTCAGGATGTCTTTTTCTCGTTCCCTGGTACCGTCAGCCCACTCTTTTGGGGTCTCCATCTCTCTTCCTGTCTCTCTGTTCTCCCTCTCTCTATCTTTGTCTCTTTCTGCCTGTCTGTTGGATAAAGAATTTAACTTTTGATCTTTGCCCTTGTTCCTTGAGAGATAACTCTAACCCTTTGGACATTTCTAAGTAATTGAGGTACCTTTGTTACCTAAACAACACCTGAGGATTTGTGCTAATGAGTGGCGTGCTGGCCAGGCCACAAAGACCAGCTGGGAGCCTGATAGCCCCTGGCCTGGGGAGGGTGTGGAGCATGATTCAATCAGTGGTGCCTATGTAATGAAGCCAATAAAGGCTCTGGACATGGAAGCTCCATGAGCTTCCTGGTTGGTGAAAGACATCCATGCACATGGGAGGATAGTGTATCCTTTGGGACATGTAAGATCCTCATTGGGAACCCTCCCAGCCCTTGTCCTATGTGTCTCTTCGTTTGTATCCATTTTGCTATAAGAAAGCTGTAACCATAAGTATAGCAACTTTCCATGAGTTCTGTGAATTGTTTCAGCTAAATATTGAACCCGGAGGAGTGGTGGGAGCCAGCAGGTCAGAAGTTAGGGAGCCCAAGGGGGACTTACAAGCTTATAGCTGGCTTCCTGAAGGGGTAGAGGGACAGGGGACTCCCAAACTTGCAGCGGGCATCTGCCTCTCTGGCAGGCTGAGGGACGGTGTTCTTTTAACTTGTGAGGTCTGCCCTAGTTCCAGGTGGCTACAGTCAGAGAAAGAAGTGTCACACGGGCTGAAGTGAACAGAGAAGTAAAAAGTGGGGATGTGCTATATCCTCATAGCTGGTGTCAGGAAAAAGTAGATATTTGATTTGATTCTGAGATTTCCACAGAATGCACGGTCTGTGTCTCCTTGACTATTTCTCTCTCCCTGTCTGTCTGTTTCTCCCTATCTCCCCTCTCCCTTCTGTATCTCTCGCTGCCTATCCGTCCTGTCTCTTTTGTCTGTCTCCCCGTCTGTCTCTGTCTCTGTCCTCCCTCTTCTATCCTTCTCTCTACCTTTCTGTCTGTGCTCTATGTGTTCGCTTGTCTCTCTCTGTCTCTCTCCTTGTCTTTCTGTCTGTCTCCCTATCTGACTGTGTCTGTCTATCTCCATGCCTGTCTCTGGTCGTGCTCACCCCCGACTCTGTATCTGTGGGTCGGCTCCCACTTCCAGTCAGCTCCCCTCTGCCAGTCTCCATCACACACACCCTGCCACCCCCCCAGGACAGCCATTTGACCCCTCTATGCTGCTGGCCCAGACCACCTCCAACGTCATCTGCTCCCTCACCTTCGGCCTCCGCTTCCCCTATACGGACAAGGAGTTCCAGGCCGTGGTCCGAGCAGCTGGTGGCACTCTGCTGGGGATGAGCTCCCCGTGGGGCCAGGTAAGTGGGTCTGGCCTCCTTCCCCAAAGGTTCCTGCCCCACCTCTTCCAGGTAGCCCCCAGAGCGCCCCTTCTGCCTGCCCCTCAACCCCGTGCAGGGCCAGGCTCCCACGAGAACCAGCAGCCCTTCTCCCCGCAGTCCTACGAGATGTTCTCCTGGTTCCTGCGGCCCCTGCCGGGCCCCCACAAACAGCTCTTCGGCCACCTGGGCACCCTGGCTGCCTTCGCCATCCGGCAGGTACAGCAACACCAGGAGAACCTGGACACCTCAGGCCCTGCCCGAGACATCGTCGATGCCTTCCTGCTGAAGATGGCACAGGTGGGGGATCCGTCCTGAAAGGGGCTGGTGGCCTGGCTGGCCTCTGGCTGGGTGTAGCTGGGGCTCTCTATCGGATCTCTGATTCTCTGCCTGTCATTATGCCTCTCTGTGTATGTGTGTGTCTGCGTGTGTGTGTGTGTCGTGTGTGTATGTGTGTGTGTGCGTTTATATCTGTCTTCTCTTTCAGTGTGTTCTTGCTGCCCCTCCCCACCCCCCACCTCCTGTGTGTTTGAGTGTCAGGGTCTCCGTCTCTCTCCTCATTCTCCTCTCTCCAACCTCGGGCCCCTTGTCCCGCCACTGGCGATTCCCACAATCACATCCCCCCACACCAGACATATGTGTGAATTGCAATCATTTACTTACGCAACTGTGCAATATCAAATTACATGAATAAAACCCACTTTATTAATTATATGAGAAAAGAATTAGAACTAAGGGGACCTCTATAGCCAAAAAAAAACTACTTTTGAATTGTACAGATTTTGGAATTATGGGAGATATTCATGGCCACATCCTTCAAATAAATGCAGCTGCCCTCTTCATGGAGAGAAAGACACCGTTTTTCTTAACCCTGTGGCCCCATATCTTTTCTTTCATTTTTAAAAACATTTCAACCGAGAGAACTAATACAGAAGCCCACTTCCCAACCCTCCCAAATGTTTATTTCAACTCCCCAACAAAGCTTTAACTGGCTGTGCCACACCCCAAGCCTGGCTGCCCTGGGCCTCTGCCCCCTACAGCCTGCGTTCTCTGAGCCCCGCTGCCTGATTTCTCCCAGGAGGAAAAAGACCCAAACACAGAAATCACCGAGAAAAACTTGTTGATGACAGTCACTTATTTGCTGTTCTCTGGGACAGTGACAGTCAGCGCCACGGTCCGCTACGCCCTCCTGCTGCTTCTGAAGTATCCTCAGGTCCAAGGTAGGAGCCTTTTCCACCAGCCAGGCCCTGGGAACAGAAGTGAGGAGGCTGAGGGAGAAGAATGTTCAGACAGCAGGGGGCAGCCTGGGCCAGAGCTGAGAAGTGAGAACAAGCATGGTGTGTGGGGTGTGTGAGCACGGTGTGTGGGGTGTGTTAGGATCGAGAAAAACTCAGGGAGCTGCTGATGGCAGGGGAGACGTCTGCAAGGGCTGGCTCATGCAGGGCCTTGTGCTTTGGTGGTAAGTTTTGTGTCTGATCCTGAGCCATGGGGAGCCATGGAAGGATGGTGAGTAGAGGAGGGCAGGGTCAAAATTGTGTTTCACACCAAAGACACAAGGAAAGTAGTAGCGCAAGAGACAGAAAAGGCCACATAAACCAGAGACTTCATCAGCCTGAGACCAGAAGAACTAGATGGTGCCCGGCTACCACC